CATTTTATTTTCCCAGTGTGTTTGTCTCTTACAGACTAATACACAGAAGAAGGTCTATATTGTACAACTTGGTTACCTACAAAAAAAAAAAAGTTCTATGGTGTTTTTCAACAAACTACAATACAGCAGAAGTGATGTACTCTGGTTGTCTCTGTAGGTTGATCCCATTTAAGGGAAATGTAATTTCTTCCAGGCAGGGAGTGAGGTAGTGGTGGAATCACTGGAATTCACTGTGATCAGGAAATTCCTCATAAAATAAGAACTGTCCTGACATGTTGTTGTTGTTTTTGTTGTTGTTTGCTGTCAACCTATGATGACCCTGTGAGTGAAAGACCTCGAAGATCCCTAGACATGCCCTGCTCAGGGCTTGCAAATTCAGGACTGTGGCGTCTTTGATGGAATCAGTCTCTTTCTTTTCCTATTGCCTTCCACTTCCCCAAACTTTATTGCTTTTTCCAACAAGTCGTGTCAGCTCATTATATGCCAAGGTACCTCAACCTCAGTTCAAAGTCATAGTCCAACATACATCGTGCTGGTTCCTAGATGATATATAGTCTCTGTCAAACACCAGCCTGGCTGCCACATTTTGTCCTAGGTATATCTTCCAAAAGCTTTTCAAGGGCATCCCCTTGCAAAGTATTGCTTGGCCACTCCCAACAATGCTGGTGAATAACAAGATGAGGCTTTCTCTATAGCAGCACCTCAGTTATGGCTCTCCCTCACCTGGAAAGATAGGCTGGCTCCATTGTTATTCCAGCAGACAGCCAAGACTCTAATAGTGGCCCAAAACACACTGCAGAAATAATCTAGTTTCAAACTGCTTTAACTGCCCTGACTTGTGGGAATTGTAGTTTATTGTGGCATCAGAGCTCTCTGACAGAGAAGGTTAAATGTTTCACAAAACCATAGTTCCCAGAATTCCCTAGCATTGAGCCAGGGTAGTTAAAGCGGTCTCAAACTAGATTATTTCTGCATTTATTTCTGTACTTATTTCAAACTGGATTTACTTCTGTGTTTTGGACCAGCCTGACCTTTTGGACCTTAAGACTAGTTTTAAGGTTGGCTTTTGGGATTTTTTTTAACTTATTCTCAAAAACTATTCAATTAATTTTTACGAAATGTTTTTAAAGGCAATTTAATCTGTTTCCAAATAATGATTTTATTTGTAATGCATCATGTTGGGAACCCTGGTGGGCTGAGAAGCAAAAAATAAAATAAAAATAATCATGCATTATTTAAACAGACAAACAAACAAACAACAGCAATGTAAGGTGGGAGACAGTTCATCTCTTTACACCATTCCTTTTGCTAATTAAAAATTAAAATCTCCCCCAACCTCCATTGTATATACACCAGTGAGGCAGACACAGAAGTACTACCGGTAAATACGACTGTTGTGTTACTGTCTTGTCCAGTTTTGACTTAATCAGTTATTTCTGATTCTCATTCTGGGACAAGAGAACTGAGGATACCACAACTACATAGAATTACTTGATTTAAATTCCTATCATATAATTTTGAAAAATCCATGCTTACGTATTCTGTGATGTAATAAGAATGAGGTTGATGCTAGTCTGGGTTTCTCATGAGTAGGAACAGAAATATAAGATTTTGAAAGGCCGCTTTTCTTCTCTTTTTTCCCTTTCTTCTTTTTTGCTAACTGCTGTTCTTGCCATTCTTTAGGAGAGATACTCAACAAAAAAGTTTCATAGGATACATACAGTTTCAGGAGATCTTCAGTGTTTGAAATTTCACTGCAGATATTAAAGGATCAAAACCAATAAACCAGCAAGTACTCATATTTTTAAAAATATCATCACTAGATGATATAAAACAAATAAATAGCAATAGCAAGTACATTTCTATACCGCTTATCAGTGCACTTAAGCATTCCCTAAACAATGTGTAAACTAATTGCCCCAAACAAGCTGGGTACTCATTTTAGTGACCTCCGAAGAATGCTAGGCTGAGTCAACCATGAGTGACTGCAGTACAGGCATTTAACCATTGCACAACCAGGGCTCTTCCCTGCAAATAAATTGGCATTACTGTAATGGAAAAGTTAATGAATAAGATATGTGCAATAGCAGATTCATGTTTGTTCCACATTACCATTTGTACTATAATGCTGTCACCAGATAAAACCAGATGATATATTTATTCAAGAGCCTTTCCTCACACAATGTCTGCCCTGAAGCATCCCATCACAAATTATGGAAGCAAAATTAAACATACTTAGTAAAATAACAGGCTTGTTGTGAGTACAAATTTCTGTATGCCCCCCCCCCCGGTGGGATATCTGTTCTTGAACCAATGCATATTTTTATGAACTGACATTGACGGAACTTAACACTTTTACTATGTTTGATATCCCATGCATTTTGGGGCAAACATGGGGCCAATTAGCAAGCTTTAACAAACACTCTGATCAAGAACTCATCAATTCAGCCAACCACATGCCAAGGTCTATGCAAATTTGAGGCTCTCCCACCAAGACTGTATGGACTTCCCAAGATCCACAAGGATTCCATTCCACTCTGATCCATAGTGAGTGCCATTAGATCCTCCACGTATGACTTTGCCAAGTTTCTGGCCACACAGTTACAAACCCATATAGAGCAAACCTCCCATTACATCAAAGATTCAGCTCACTTCGTAGAAAAAATCAACAACTTGAACTCAAACCCGGAGACAGACTAATCAGCTTTGATGTGGCCCCCCTGTTCACCAAAGTGCCCATAATGGACACTATGGTACTCATCCAACAATTTTTTTCTGGAAGACATCACAGCCCTGTTTGAACATTGACTCACCATAAGCTACTTCCAGTGGGACAATGGATTCTACAAGCAGAGAGATGAGGTAGCCATGGGAAGCCCTCTGAGTCCCGTGATGGCAAACTTTTACATGGAACACTTTGAAACAGCACCAAAAAAAGCCCACAACATGGTTCCAATATGTGGATGACACTTTCATCATTTGGAGCCACGGAGAAGAAGATCTGACCGTGTTTTTGAACCATCTGAACAACATCCACCTGAACATTCAATTCATGATGGAAAAAGAAAAGGAAGGAACATTGTCATTCTTGGATGTCCTGGTCATCCACAAACCGAACCAACATTTGGGCCACACAGTATACAGGAAACCTACACACGCAGACAGATACCTACACAAGAACTTCAGTCATCACCCAGGACAAAAAAGAAGCACAATAAAAAACATTGGTGGACCGTGCAAAAAGGATCTGTGAACCCCACTTCCTGGAAGATGAATTGAAGCACCTAAACTGGGCTCTACAGGCTAATGGTTACTCCAGCTCAGACATCAGAAGGACTGCCAGACACAGAAAAACCCAGAGGAGTGAAGACAAACAACCACTCAAAGGGAAGGTATTTTTACCATACATCAAAGGAGTCACAAACAGGATAGGGAAACTGATGAGGAAACACAACTTCCAAGAGAATCCAGGAAATGCTGTGCTCAGCAAAGGACAGGACAGACCCTCTCACGGCCGCAGGAGTTTACCGCATACCATGCAGCTGTGGACAAGTCTACATAGGGACCACAAAATGCAGTGCTCAAATGAGAATCAAGGAACACGAGTGACACTGCAGACAGAGTCAGCCAGAAAAATCAGCAGTAGCAGAACATGATATAACCAAACCTAGGAATAAAATACTATTTGAAAACACTGAATTTCTGGATCATGCCAACAACTGTTGGGTCAGAATGCACAGGGAAGCCACTGAAATTCACAAACACCTGGACAACTTCATCAAGAAAGAAGAAACCCTGAAAGAAAACAAACTTTGGCTGCCAGTCCTGAAAAACACCAAAATCAAGACTCAACACATGCAAATGAACTTCCCCCAGGGATAGGCAATGGACTACAAATTAAACAGACACGAATCCTTCTTGCATATCCTCCCACCCTGGGGCCTTGCCATTCAACAACAGAACAATACACAG